TCCTTGATACCTATCATCATCGCATCCTTTGCATTGCCAAGGATGTGTAACGTCCCTTTTGATTTCTATATATAGTAAGATATGATAAGATATTAGATGATGCCAGGTGATGATCAGATGATGATAAAGATGATGACGAGGATAATAACTATCATCGTAGCATCCTTAGCACCACTAACGGCTGCGATAACTGTCATCGCAGCATCCTCTGCGTCACCAATGCTGCGTGAAAAGAGATGACGACTACCATGATGATAATGGTGCCGTGCTGATCGTTATCATCCGCGTCATGACAACTATCATCACAACATCCTCTGCATCACTACTTGTTCCTTGATAACTATCATCATCGCATCTTTTGCGTTGCCAAGGATGTCTAACGTCCCCTTTGATTTCTAAATATAGTAATATAGTAAGATATGATAAGACATGAGATGATGCTAGGTGATGATCAGATGATGAGAAAGATGACGACGAGGATGACAACTATCATCGTAGCATCCTTAGCATCACCAACGGCTGTGATGATAATGATGCATAGGATGCTGTGATGATAGTTCTCATGACGCGGATGATAACGATCAGCACGGCACCATTATCATCATGGTCGTCGTCATCTCTTTTCACGCAGCATTGGTGATGCAGAGGACGCTGCGATGATCGTTATCATCACAGCCGTTAGTGATGCAAAGGATGCTACGATGATAGTTATCATCCTTGTCATCATCTTTATCATCCTCTGATCATCATCTAGTATCATGTCTTACATATCTTACTGTATCTAGAAATCAAAAGGGACGTTAGACATCCTTGGCAATGCAAAGGATGCGATGATGATAGTTATCAAGGAACAAGTAGTGATGCAGAGGGTGCTGCGATGATAGTTGTCATGACGCGGATGATAACGATCATCACGCCTCATTCTCATCATGGTCGTCATCATCTCTTATCAGGCAGCATTGGTGATGCAGAGGATGCGGCGATGATAGTTATCATCCTTGTCATCATCTTTATCATCCTCGGATCATCACCTAGCATCATCTCATATCTTACTGTATATAGAAATCAAAAGGGACGTTAGACATCCTTGGCAATGCAAAGGATGCGATGATGATAGTTATCAAGGAGCAAGTAGTGATGCAGAGGATGTTGTGATGATAGTTGTCATGACGCGGATGATAACGATCATCACGCCCCCATTCTCATCATGGTCGTCGTCATCTCTTATCAGGCAGCATTGGTGATGCAGAGGATGCTGCGATGATCGTTATCATGACAGCCGTTGGTGATGCTAAGGATGCTACGATGATAGTCATCTTTTTTCGTTAGTGTTTGGAGGACGGTGATGATAACTATCATCGTAGCATCTTCTGCATTGCCAATGGTGTCTAACGTTACTTTTGAAATGCATATAAGAACAAGAAAGAGATGATAATGATCATCATGATGATGACGGGTCTATTCTATTGGTAATGCACAGGATGCTGCGTCTGATGCTCCCTAGCCTATGCTTGCTTGCGTACTCACGCCAGGCGCGACTGCTGCTCATGGGGGAGTGGAGAGCGGGGCTGAGAGCTGCTCTTTCTTGACAAGATAGAAGGGCATCGTGTGGCAAGAAAACGTGTCTGGCATCACCAGCATCGCCCGGGCGTGTCTATTGGTAATGCAGAGGATGCTGCGGCTCATGGGGGAGTGGAGAGCGGGGCTGCGAGCTGCTCTTTCTTGACGAGATAGAAGGGCATCGTGTGGCAAGAAAACGTGTCTGGCATCACCAGCATCGCCCGGGCGTGTCTATTCGTAATGCAGAGGATGCTGCGGCTCCTGGGGGAGTGGAGAGCGGGGCTGAGAGCTGCTTTTTCTTGACGAGATAGAAGGGCATCGTGTGGCAAGAAAACGTGTCTGGCATCACCAGCATCGCCCGGGCGTGTCTATTGGTAATGCAGAGGATGCTGCGGCTCCTGGGGGGGAGGAGAGCGCGGCTGAGAGCTGCTTTTTCTTGACGAGATAGAAGGGCATCGTGTGGCAAGAAAACGTGTCCAGCATCGCCCAGCATCGCCCAGAAGGTGCCGCGCGGCGGCGCAAGCTGCCACAAATCCCCCGACAGAATTACGTTCAACCCCCCGAAGGGGCGTGCTGTCGTGCACCCCGCGGCGTACTTCTGTCGCGAGGCATCTCGGACTAGCTTCCGGCAGCGGAGCTCTTACCCCCAATCTAGCGTTCAGGCGCCGAAAGCGAAGTAGACCTGGAGGGTCTGCTTGCTTGACCTGCTTTCGAGCAGTCTTTCGAGGGTTACAACCATAGCTCAGCGAAAATGGATCTAACAAAACTCAAATGGCCTAAGAATGGCCCATGCGTAAAAGAGCCACGCTCACAAACCCAGATTCCCTGCACAAGAAGTAGCCGGCTGGCTGACACTCATTCCACAACTCCCCTGAAAGGTTGCAACTGACTGGTGTTGAAGACTCCAAAAAGAGAAACCGAGGAAGCCCTGTGAGATCCCGAAGGGGGAGAGGGTGGGGTCTGATCATCACTCAAGTACGCAGAGTTGTGGCTCGGCTACTGGGGTTCAAATTTACAGTGAAACCAAAAAAACAGCATCAAAAATTGCACTGTTTTTTGTGCTCGAAAACCACACGTAAATCCAGGGGTCGGCGGCACTGGGCGGCAGCCCTTAAATAAACTTGCAATCTGCGCGCTCTGAAGTTCTCTCTTCTCGCTCCTTTGGTCCTTTGCCTCTGCTGCGCGAGCTGGCGAGCAGTCTCTGCGTCCTGCTCAAACACGTGAACCAGCGGCACCTCAGTCTGACGTTGCTGTGTGTGACGTGTCTGACACTGAGCCGAGTCAGGCACCGGGTCATTGTCCTCATGAGTCGAGCTCGGCTTGACCTATTTCTCAGCTGGCATGCTGAAAAGACTGCACTTGGCATCTAAAACTTCGCTACAAGAATCTTCCGAATCAATGTGTTTTCATTGAGTTCTCTTTTCCTCTTCTTTCTTATCCTTTCTCTCCTTTTCCTCTTATTTCATGTTTTTCTCTCTCTCTCTCTTTTTGAGTTCGAAGTCGTTCGCCCGAGTTCCCGGGATCCCGAGTTCCCGAGCTCGCAACGGCCGGGACGTGGCCTGGACCCAAATGGTCTGGCCCGGGTCGGCGCCCGGCGGCACCGTGAGGTCCACCTCCCCCTCCGGGCCCTGAGCAGAAAGAGAACAGACACAAGAAGGAAAGAAAGCAGAGCAGAAGCAAAACGAGGCGAATAGAAAGGAACAGAAGCAAGAAGAGCAAGACGAGCAAGAAGAGCAAGAGGCCGGCAAAAGCAAACAAGAGAACATGGCAAGGAGAAAAGAAAAAGACAACAAAGGCATGGAATGCGTCTAAAAATATGCCGGCTCTGTTTCGCACTTGCCTGGACCCGGATGACGTGGCCCGGGCAACTGCCCGGTGGGAGGACCACTCGAAAGCCCTCGCCATCGCGCCGGTCCCTGCAGCTGAGCAGATGAAAACCCAAGCGGCCCCAAGTGGCCCAAGTGGCCCAAGTGGCCCAAGTGGCAGTCGCCTTCGGGGAGTCGAGCTGCGCGACTGGCGAAGGGACAAAGAAATCGCATACCGATAACCGTAACATAGCGTAACAATCCGTAACATACCCTAAGCTTCGGGCCTTGGGCTGCCGAGACTTCTTCCCCAGCAAACTCCTTGCCAGTGCCGATCAGTTTGTGTCACCTTCTCCCTTGCCGTGCCTCAATTTCTCCGATGAGGCTCGGAACATGCCGGCTGGCAATCAGTCAGCATCTACGCTGGACCAACTTGAAAGGTTCCCCTGACACACTGCCACAATCTTGGTATGGTATCACCTTAAAAAGAGTGCTTCTGCTGATTTGCTGCTCTTTCGCCTTCCAAACAATCTGCAACAGACACAAGCGGCACAAGCGGCACAAGCGGCGCAAGCGGCACAAACGGCACAAATGTCACAACTTTCCCTCGCTCTGTGGCTCGCGCAGGTTTTGCTGGTGAATGACTGCAATCTATTACAACCGCTCTCCAATCTATCACAACCGCTCCCTCTCTCTCTCTCTACAGGCTGCTCCTGTCAAGGGCACTCCTGTCTGACACTGCATTGAGTGGCTCAGTCCAAACCGCTCAAAGTGCCTTGGCTGAGAATGACTGGTGATATGCTTGCCATCCTTTCTAACTGCCTCAACCATCCACGCTGCCAACTGCGGCTTTGATTGCCTGCAAGCGGCGTGGCGTCAAACTCGGTGCATTCGACAAGTCAATCCAAGCCCGGGTAAATGAAGGCTAGTGAGGGATAATCCCAACCATAAATAGCGTAGCTGCGGCCGCCTTCTTAACTCTTGAGACAGTTCTGGGATTACGACCATTTTTAATTCTGATCGGATTTGATTGTGACTCAAGTGTTTGCAGTGCTCAATACGTTTGGTATACTTGTTTGGATACTTTTGGATACTTTTGCAAACTTTCAAATGCAGCGAATCGACGCGAGTCACACGAAGCCTGAACAGTCGCATGCGCCGTTCGGAAACCCCTTGCCTTTGGATATTTGTGTTCGGGCAGTGTGAACTCATGCTGCTATGTCGCCTGCTAGCCAGCCCTCCTGCTGACACCGCACTACGACCTCAGTTACACAGGTGTGTACTCTCCAATACCAAGGCTCTCTCGCAGTATCGTCATGATTCGTCACGCACTTGCCGTTTGCACTGCTCTGCATCCACCTGCTTCGCGTCCGAGCAAATCCATTCGTAGATCATAGAAACTTGACATGCCAGCTGCCTTCGGCATCGGCTCTGGGAAATGGTGATGCAGAAGCAAGTTGCCCTAGCTAATTAGTTCACGGCTGTGTGCACGTCTGTGCAGCTCGGAAGTGAGACACACGTAACATGACAAGCAACAAATCGAGTGCAAGTTCTTCTTTAGCTGAAAGTGCTGCAGCCCTGTGCATGTTTCAGAAAACTGGGTTGTGTTCTTTTGCGTGTGCAATCAGGTGAAAATCAGTCGAACCGGTGAATCTTGCGAAGCGCCTGCTGGCGAAAAGAAGAGGCATGGGTCAAACATCTCAAGGCCGGCCTTTCGAACGATCTGCTGGTTCATTCTGACCTTCTCTTCTGCGGCCTTACGGAACTTTCACGCGGCTTGCGCACTGCTCCCTCTCCCAAGCGCCGCAAGCGCCGCAAGCGCCGCAAGCGCCGCAAGCGCCGCAAGCGCCGCAAGCGCGCATCGTGCGCCTGCGCCAGGCGAACCTCCTCGAGCCGCTTGAGGCGAGCGGGCAATTCAGGCGGCTCGGGCTGCGCTCCTTCCTCGCTCACAGGCGACACTCAGCGACACTCAGCGACACTCAGCGACACAGGCGATCAACAAGACGCCTGTGCCACACTTCCCAGTGGCAGTCGCACACTCGCAACAGGCACGGCCGGTCCATCACAAGACGGGAAGGTCTTTCGAAATGCGATTGCCCCGATTGCTTTCGGTTCAATGGGCGCAGCCCGTTGCAACGCACCCATTTGCTTACAAGCGGGAGAGCGTCAAAAAAATGAAACATAAACTTTGCATGGCCAGCTGCTCGCACTGCTTGGACCTTGTCGGCAGCCTGCACATTGGTGCTGGGAAGGCAAATGTTAGGACATGCACTGGCCTTTGGAACCTCGGGCGCTAGCATGCTGATCTTGAGCTGCAGCTCCTGCCGCATTTCCAGGCCAACCGCGGCAAAATATACTGAATTTCTAAGACAAGCCTCTCAAATTCTCAAACATCCGCACCGCGAGGTGTCTAGCCGCTCACTCCGCATGCAGTTTGGCGAGGCCGGCCGTTTGCTTTGAAACTCAATTGTCAGGATTGCATTAACTCTTTCAGGCAGGCCTCAACTCCTCACCGTGCTAATGGAATGCCGAGCTTCTCCACATGAGACACGTGACTCCGCGCCTTGTCATGGGCTTGTTTATCTATGTCCATCCACATGCTCTGCTCGTTGGATGCCACAGGCAAGAACCACCTGGCAGTCATGGCAGAGCTAAGCTGCTCGCAAAAATCTCACCGCGCCTACCGCGAATCCTGTCGGATTTGGACATCTTCGGGCGCACTTGACGAGCAGCCAGCACCTCGCAGCTAGCAAATGGTATAATTTGTATAATGGTATGGCCAATGGCAAGCTTGCGTTTGCGCTCCCAACGGCAAGGTTGCTGAACATTCGGAAGGTGCACGTGACACACTGGCGAGCAAGCCACGATGATTGGGGGTTTGGAGCGTATCTAGGGATTTGGGCTGCGGCAGTGGGGTTTGCGCAAGCGGTATTTGGCAGCCTTCACGGCTACAACTGTTTGCAGCAGTTGGTGCGCTCTCTCCGTCGCATTCGTTTCCTACGCAACACTAACTTCTTGATCATGGATATTTGACAAAAAGGTTATGAGTTCCCGGACCTTCCTTAGGCAGAACGGATCTGCTGAGCCTAAAAGGCTGGGCAAGCAGCTCCATGAACCAGACCACAAAAACAAGCGCGATGGCCAGTTGGGCGCGTGCTCCACGCAAGCACAAAGAATGACAACAATGCACATCATTCCACACCTGCGCCTGCCAAACCTAATGGAAATTGATACTCAGAGCCAGTTCATGGTAACTGGTGCTGAGTGAAGGAATCCATCCAGAAAAAGCTCCAAGGCGCAGGATCCTTGAAGTCCACATCACACTTCATGATGTGGATGTCCATCTGTCACGAGTGGATAGACCCCAAACGGGCATAATGAAATGCTTCCAATGCGTCAAATTACAACATGCAGGGGGCACATCGTCAACGTTGTCCAATACCATGGCCAGGGACTCGTTCACTTGACGGATCCGCTCGGAGTTGAGATCGCATCTGTCCTTGACAGACAGTTAATGACAGTTAACTAGGCGCCAGAATTGTCAATTCGGGAAGGCGAAAACATGGAGAGTTGCTGATGCAAATGTGCCGACCAAGAAGCCAAGTTGTGCTTGAGGTCAATGGACAACTGGTGCAAGTCGCATGCCATTGCAGGCCCCCTGCAACAGGGCAACGGCAAAATTGATTCTAGCCAGGATCCGCCACATTGTGACCAAGTACGTGGACGCGCCTAAGTTTGGCGCACCCGCGGAAGAACATGTCAGTGTTCACCTCAGGATAGAGCGCTCCCTAAGGCTTTACCAAGTCCATGGAACTCGGTCCGACACGCTTCCCGTGCATTCTGTGTCCAGCAGTGTGAATAGCAAATCCAGATCCTGGGGCATTGCATGTGGCGCAAGTCATTGCGCAGCTCAGTGGCGGACTCTAAACGGAATTCGCAGCATTCTGAGTCTATCCCGAACCTGGCCAGTCAGACATGCGCTCTAAGTGAGTTTTGCAGAGAGCCTTAAACATGCAGTTTGCAGAACATTCTTAAACATGCGCGGGCATGTGCCTGGTGTTTCCGCACCATCGCGTGCAGCTCCTGCCACGGGAAGCTACCCCAAATTAGCAGAGGCTTGCAAACCTCAGAGCGTAGCCGGAGCCACAAGATGTGCGAGGCCCTGTCCTCCAAATCCAGCTCACCTGAGCCGTCGGTGTCACCATCGTGGAAGATCTTCCGCAAGGAGTTCATGACGAGCGCATCCGCCCTCGCGTACCCCGTACCCCCCATACGTATACTGCGTATTCTACATATATACCACGCATACTTGCAGTTCAGTGAACTTCAGTACACAAATACGCAGAACAACTTCCAGGCCTTTGCTTGTTCTCGTCCTCTTTCTCGGTACTTGCTCTCGCAGCGGACAAAGTGCACCTTCGGCACGAAAACAAATCGACTCACTCAAAATTCGGCAAGCAAATTGCAGCTGCGGCACTCAACAACTACAGCAATAATGGAATTCATCAAAGCTAGTGAGCCGATGCAAAAGTAGAATCCGATGATGATGAGCAGCCTCATGCAGCATAGAGGCTAAAACACATTGACATTGAGTGTGCAGCCCACAGCTACAATTCCTGATGAGTAGCGCAGGCTCTGTCTTCACGATAGGAGACACCAATGAACTGATCCAATTGTCGCGGGTGGCCACCTGAGCTCCCAGTCACATCTAGTCACATCTGGTCACGTCTGGTCACTGGTCATCGCCTGGAAGAGCGAGAAGGCACTGCGAGGCACGCTGCCCCAGTAGTCTTCGAAGGACCAGGCGGACGCCGTGAAGTCGAACTCCTGGCGGACTCAACGAATCGACAGGTCAAGGCCCTCAGGCTCAACCTCGCTGGTTCGATCCACCAAGGACACGGTCATCAGAATGCCGAAGACCCAAATGACCTGAAACTCCGTACAGGCGCATTCACGCTACGTGATGCTTTGTCAGCCAAGCTGCTGCAATAAGCATTACGCCAACCCAGCAAAGAGTCTTGATCCTGAGTGCTCATGGGCTCACGGCCACTTTAAAGCTCGCTGATAACTTGTAACCAGCAATGCAGCGCAGTGTCGTCTCGGATACTGCTCCGATGACAATCCATAGCTCCCGAAGCTCTTTATTTGCTTGCCAGTGCCTGCAGTCCGAATGGCCAGCAACAAAGAACCGAAGCATTCAGCGCGCCTCACTGCAGGTCCAATGCGCACAACGCGGAAGCCGCTGGCCAGTCGTAGGCCTGAAAGCATAAAACAGGACATTGATTTTGGGACTCGGAGGCCTGTCTCGACTTGAAGTGTGGAGAGAACCCATACATCCAGGATCCTGTCGGGTCCGAACATTGCTCAAGCCGCGTTCACAAGGAATGGCAGCGCGAGCATCTCGCCTCAGAAACAGCATCAAGGTGTCTAGGCAATTCACAATGTCCAACTTGAACTTGACCTGGCCGCATTTGGCCGCATCTGGCCGCATCTCACTCACAACAGACTTCACTCTCAGCTCCGCCTTGGTCTTGTCACCCAGAAAGAACCTGAAGCCAACCGGACGCTGATATTGAGCTGAAAACCGGATGTCCAACGGATACCAACTGAAAAAACGGACGTCCCGCATATGTCCGACTAAAACTAAACCCCGGTTATCCCGAAAGCGTGTGTGACAAAGGTGATGCAAGAACGCTGTGATGTACACAGCTGTGATGTTGCTTGTGTACACTGCGTTGTGCCACGTGCCCAGGCACTACTCTACTCGACTGCTGAGACTCTTAAACCTACACTTATACACGCCAAACAAACATCTAAGCAACCCATTTCTAGCATGCAGCAAGCGCGTTGCAGCATTGCCTCATGATCCATGTGCAGTGCTAAGAGGCGAGCGTGAAGATGCGCAACCACGCCCACGAATTCAACGCGGAGCTGTGCTGGCGCCGCTGTACAATCGCCCCTTATGTCTCTCTCTCTCTCTCTTTCTCTCTCTCTCTCTCTCTCTCTGTCTTTGTATTTTCTTTCTCTCTCTCTCTCTCTTTTTCTCTCTGTTTCTCTTTCTCTTTCTCCCTCTCTTTCTCTTTATCTTTGCCCTTCTCTTGCTCTCTCTCTCTCTTTTTCTCTTGCTCCTTATCTTTATCTTTTCTGTCTTTCTCTTTCTCCTTCGCTCTCTCTCGCTCTCCTCTTTTTTCACTTTTTCTCCTCCCCTTTCTCTTTCTCCTTCTGTCTCTTTCCCTCCTTTTCCAGCCGGAGCTGCGGGAGTGGGCTCCGCGTCGACGTTGATTCGGCGCTCCGATCTTCCCCGCGCCAGACCCGCCCCCGGCTAAGCAAGACATAGAACTAAAGGCTGCGAGCTTCGGCTGCGTGAGCTAATGCGTAGTCAGGCCGCGTAGGTCAGGCTGCGTAAGTCAGTTTGAGTAAGTCACGATGTGTTAGCTAGGCTGCGTAAGTCACGCTGCCGAAGTCAGGCTGCGTAGCTAGGCTGCGTACGCCAGGCTGTGTAAGTCAGGCTGCGTCAGTTTGAGTAAGTCACGCGCGTAAGCTAGGCTGCGTAAGTCACGCTGCGTAAGTCAGCTGTGTAGCAGGCAACCGCTTTTCGAAAGAACCCTTTAGAACCCTTTGCGACGCTTTTGGGAATAAGCTCAGGTGATATCCCCAACAGCATGTGGAACCCTGGTGGAACCCTGGTGGAACCCTGGTGGAACCCTCGTGGAACCCTCGTGGAACCCTCGTGGAACCTTACCTCCAGGCCGCCCCGGACCACCCCGGAGCCTATCTGGGCTGAGACCCCAAAGCTTTCAGCTGTTGGGGAAAAACGGATGTGTCCTGAAAAGCGGAAGTCCGACTGATGTGTGACTGACAAAATGATGTCAAACTGATGTGCAACAAATCTTCACCTAGAAAACGGATTCGAACTGGCAGCCAAATGAGAAACACAAGTCCGTTGGACGTTCACCTGGAAAAGCGGATGTCCCACTGAAGTCCGACTGAAAACACGCATGTCTAACTGATAGCAATCTGATGTCCAACCGATGTCCAACTAAAGAAGCGGAAGCCCGACTGATGTCCAGCTGAAAAAAGGATGTCCCACTGATGTCCAACTCAAAGAACAATCGTTGGTCGGGTGACCAGATAACAAACGGATGTCCAACTCATATCAAGCTAAAGTTCGCGTCCAACTGATTTCAGACTAAACAAGTCGGACGTCCAAACAAGTGACAAAAAGCGGATGTTCAACCGAAAAAACGGATGCACAGGTGAAAACAACGGATGTCACCGATGGCACACTTCAAAAAGGATGCTCAAATGAAAAAAGGATGTCGAACTCAACAAATGGTTAACTGTAAAACGGATGTCCAATTGAAGAACGGATGCCCTCACCTGAGAGACGGATGCCCAACTGCAAAGCGGATGCCCAACCCCAACTGCAAAACGGAAGCACAACTGAGAAAGGGATGCCCCCAACTGAAAAACGGATGCCCAACTGAAAGCAAATTCAGACTTTTAGGTGATGAACGAAAAACAGAACTAGAGGACGACTGGCCCGAAAGCATTTTTCCCCAAGCGCTTCCCATCATGTGCTTTTGGCCCTATGTAACTTGGCTTTTAGTAACTTGGCTCTATGTAACTTGGCTCTATGTAACTTGGCTCTATGTCACTTGGCTCTATGTCACTTGGCTCTATGGTAACTTGGCTCTATGTAACTTGGCTCTATGGTAAATTGGCTCTATGGTAACTCGGCTCTATGTCACTTGGCTCTATGTAACTTGGCCCTGTGCAAGTTGGCTCTGTGCAGCTTGGCTCTGTGCAACTTGGCTCTGTGCAACTTGGCTCTGTGCAACTTGGCTCTGTGCAACTTGGCTCTGTGTAACTTGGCTCTTTGCAAGTTGGCTCTGTGCAACTTGGCTCTGTGCAACTTGGCTCTATGTATCTTGGCTCTATGTAACTTGGCTCTATGGTAAATTGGCTCTATGGTAACTCGGCTCTATGGTAAATTGGCTCTATGGTAAATTGGCTCTATGGTAACTCGGCTCTATGTCACTTGGCTCTATGTAACTTGGCCCTGTGCAAGTTGGCTCTGTGCAACTTGGCTCCGTGCAACTTGGCTCTGTGCAACTTGGCTCTGTGCCACTCGGCTCTGTGCCACTGGGCTCTATGTAACTTGGCTCTGCGCAACTTGGCGCGCTACTGCCTGCCGCGCGCGGGGGGTTTCCAAAAAGCTGGTGTGCTGGTGATGTTGATGATCTGTGGCAGCTAGAGACCGCAAAAAAAAAAACTGCGCGCTGCGACCTGGCGCGCGCGGGTTTTTCCGAAGGCTGGCGGTGCTGGCGACGCAGGCGATGTTGCGGAGCAGGCTTACGAGCTATCTTGTGTTAATCAGATTGCGCTTGCAGGGTCATCATCAGCTTGCAGGGTCTCTGACTTTCCGAGGCCAGGTGCACGGGGGTAACATGGAGGGGCAACAAAGCCGTGCGACCCCTCCACTGCAGCGCGCAGTGCGCAGTGCACCCGAACAGCTCCTCTATTTAAGTTCGAACCTGACAAGTCGAGATTTTGACTCGCTGCTGTCAGCCAAGCTGAGGGAAAAGCTGAGGGCATCGGAGGGCTCCAGCGTAGCTCTTCTTTTCTACCGCTAGGCGCGTCTCGCGTCACGACAGTGCCTCAGCAGAGTGTCACTGCCGCGCAGTTCCAAACAGCCGCATCGAAAATGGCCAAAAAGCAAATGATCACGTTAGATCACAGGGAAAACAGATAGATCACACTAATCCGCGACAGTCAGCGATGAAAAGCTGCTGGGGCCATCATCAGCTTGTAGGGTCCTCGCTGTTCGTGCTCCGAGCGGACATCTCCTTGAGCTTCCTCATCCTCTCGACCAACATGCCGTTGCGCTGGCGCAAGAAGCTTTCGAAGTACTGTCGATCGGGCAGCGCAACGAGCGTCAGGTCGCTCATCTTGGCGGCGCGCGACAGCAGGACCCATAGTCGGCCTCCTTCGTCCAGGACGGCTGCGTCAAGAGCGCAGCCAGTCCGCGGCGGGCAGTCGCGCCCTGAAGCCCTGAGGCACCTCAGGCAGACGAAGCCGCCTGAATTCACACTTCGCATTACACGGCGTTTGCCATCCTTGGTTTCCCGGGTGCCGCTGGACACCCCCTTACTCAACATCTCGGGACTTACCGAGGCCGAGCAGAGTCGTCCTCGCAGCCAGTCACATGCACAAAGGTGTGACACATCATGTCCTGTGGAGAAAATGTCGTCTCAGACACTCGGTCAAGCTCCTAGACATCGTGCGCGAAGTTGAGCTGGTGCCGTGCGCGGGTCGATGTTTGACGAGGAGCGCGCAAACCGTGAGAAGTAAGATAGCGACGCAGCTCTGCCTGACCCAGCAGAGCATGCGAGCGAGTCACGAGGCACAGCAGAGGCGCGAGCAAGTCACAACAACCGCAAAGACCCTGCGCGCTTTTTTTTCCTCAGCGCTCGCGCGCAGCTCCTGTCTGCCGCTAGTTCGCAAGACAGTGTTGAAGCAGCAAAGCAGTCGCGCTGAGCACGATCCGCGCGCCGATCAGTCTAGCTCGCCTTTTGCGCTCGCAAGCGCTTGAGCGCAAGCAGCACGTAGTCTCGACTTTGCCACGGGCAAAGAGCTGGGCGAGCCTCCAGCAGGGCAGCCACTGCCTCGTCCACGGTGCACTGCCCATCAAGGACTAGCCACGCGCACAGCACGCCTGGGCTGCGGTTGATGCCGCCGAAGCAGTGGAACAGCACATTGAAGCCCACGCCACATGCCGCGCCAAGTCTCGGCGCACTGCTGGGCGCACTCCAGAACTGCCCGGGGCTCCGCGCGTAGACAATCCGGAGGTCGTCGAGCGGCACCTGCAAGTGCGTGACCCCGCTCTCCTGAAAGTGCGCGCCCCAGTCTCGCGGAGCTCCTCTCACTCTCATTTCCGCCTCCCAGCACACGCTGACAACAACCGAAGCCCGCGTGCCCGTGAGGGCTTCTGCCGCTCGCAGGTCAGCCGCGGAGCGTAGTCTGCCCAGCAAGCACTTCTGTCGGTGAGCGGTCTGGACCACGACGGCGTCCACGGGCCAGTCGGCGACGCTGCCCAGGTCGTAGCAAAAAAACCAGACTGCGTAATCCACAGCAGTCCAAGGCCCTCGCGCGTACCTTTCCGATATCTCAAGCTGGGCAGCTCGAATCCAAGCCATATCCGCCTCCGCGACATCCTCTGCCTCGGAAGCCCGTGAGCAAGCCATGCGATCAACAGAAACAGCTCAGGCGTGAGTTTACGCAACTCGAGCAAAACGCTGACCGACATGAAAAGCTAACTTGGGGTGGGAAGCTGCGGCTCGCGTGCAAGCAAAACGCACTGCGTCAGCTGATGCCTTTTGTGATTTCTACGCGCCTCATGCTGGCGCTCTCCTAGCCCGGCGCTCGCGCAGCTTTCGCAAGACAGCGGCCACTGCGTCGCACCGGGCCAGGAGAGAACAGAGCGCGTCAAAACAAAGCCACTGGCCGTCGTCCAAGACCAAAGCCGTAGGCCAAGACAGTGGCTTGC